AGGAAAACGCGGCCGCCGCAGGCGCCGCCTGGACCGCGGCGTCGACGGCCCGCCGGAACGGGCAGCGCGCGGCCGCGGCCGCGTGGTCCAGCGCCGCCCGTGCCCGGAGCCGGAGAAGGCGCACGTCGGCGGTGACCTCGCCGAGCAGCGTCGCCATCGCGACGTGCGAGACCCCGGTCGACGCGGCTCCGAGCGCGAAGCGGAACGCCTCGGTCTCGGCCTGGCGGACGGCGACGCCCGCCGCCACCGAGACCTTGCCCCAAGCCGCCGCCGACCGCGCGACGACGCTCCGCGCGTAGCTCACGTGCGCGACGAGCAGGTGCGCGCGCTTCATCGAGCCGACCGTCGCGAGCGCGCCCGTCGCCGACGCGACCTGGCGCCGCATCTCCGTGGCGGCCGCCTGAACGTGCTTGGACCACGAGCCGTCGTGCGCGAGCACCACGCCTAGGTAGCGGCCCTCCGTGCCAATCGGGATGCTGACGGCCAGGTCCGGCGGCGCCGCCGGCGAGACGCGTCCGGTGAGCCGAAGCTCCTCGCGCGCCGGCGAGTGCACGAAGGAGAAGCGCCCGCCGTAGCCCCGCACCTCGCCCGCCGCGCCGGGCCCGAGCACGAAGACGAACGTCTTCGGCTCGCCCGGGTACGGGACCCACCGGAAGCGCCAGCACCAGGCCCAGAGCTCCTCCGCGAGCGCCTGGAGCTCCTCGTACGACGGCGCGAGGAGCGCGACGTCGTCCATGAGGAGAAGGGCGCCGAGCCAGACGCCGCCGAGCGCGACGCCCCTGCCGGTCGCCTCGAGCGCCGCGAGCACGGGCGAGAACGCGACGGCAAAAAGGAAGGGGCTCAGCACGAAGCCCTCGGGCACGCCGGTCTCGCGCGCGACCGGGCTCGTGAACCCGCCGCCCGCGGTGCCGACGCGGACGGAGTTCTCGAAGAGCGCGACGAGGAGCCGAAGCGCGGCGCCGCCGAGGCCGAGCTCGCGGAGCCGACGCCAAAGTAAGAACCGACACGTCGACGGATACGCCTTGACGATGTCGACGGTCATCACCCACGTCGGCTCGCGGGCCGCGCGCCGCGCCGCGAGCACCTCGTTTAGCGTCGCGAGGTGCTCGACGACGGAGCCGCACGGGACCGCCTGCAGGGCTGGCACCGCGCCGACGGCGAGCGCCCACCGCCGGAGGCGCGCGAGGAGCC